TTGATGGGCCAGATGGATGGGCCCGTGGATGGATTGGTAAAGGGCAGAGAGCTCCAGTCCGACTCAGAAGGTGGAGGTGGAGTACTGGTTTGGGCTGGTATCATCAAAGATGAGCTTGTGGGGCCTTTTCGGGTTGAGGATGGAGTCAAGCTCAACTCCCAGTCCTACTGACAGTTCCTGGAAGACACCTTCTTCAAGCAGTGGTACAGGAAGAAGTCTGCATCCTTCAAGAAAAACATGATTTTCATGCAGGACAATGCTCCATCACACGCGTCCAAGTACTCCACAGCGTGGCTGGCAAGAAAGGGTATAAAAGAAGAAAATCTAATGACATGGCCTCCTTGTTCACCTGATCTGAACCCCATTGAGAACCTGTGGTCCATCATCAAATGTGAGATTTACAAGGAGGGAAAACAGTACACCTCTCTGAACAGTGTCTGGGAGGCTGTGGTTGCTGCTGCACGCAATGTTGATGGTGAACAGATCAAAACACTGACAGAATCCATGGATGGCAGGCTTTTGAGTGTCCTTGCAAAGAAAGGTGGCTATATTGGTCACTGATTTGTTTTTGTTTTGTTTTTGAATGTCAGAAATGTATATTTGTGAATGTTGAGATGTTATATTGGTTTCACTGGTAATAATAAATAATTGAAATGGGTATATATTTGTTTTTTGTTAAGTTGCCTAATAATTATGCACAGTAATAGTCACCTGCACACACAGATATCCCCTAACATAGCTATAACTAAAAACAAACTAAAAACTACTTCCAAAAATATTCAGCTTTGATATTAATGAGTTTTTTGGGTTCATTGAGAACATGGTTGTTGTTCAATAATAAAATTAATCCTCAAAAATACAACTTGCCTAATAATTCTGCACTCCCTGTATATATACGTGTGTAATTTAATTATAAGTGTATTTTTATATTACTATAAGTACATATTAATATAAAAATACACTTAGTATGACATTATATATATGATATACAGACATATATTATATAAATATAATATATGTCTGTATATCATATATATATATATATATATATATATATATATACACATATATAATTTTTTTTATTTTTTATAAACACTAACTTTATTTTTTTTAATGATTTTACACTAGCAGGGAGACTGCCTGTCAGTACAGGCAGTCCCCCTGCAGGCAGACACTAGGACACCTATTGTGACCATGTGATCGCTATGTTGACCGATCACATGGCCACAGGGGTCCTAATCCAGTGTGGGGAGACTGTCTGGGCTGCAGGCAGTCTCCCCACACCAGGAGCAACGCCGATCGCCGCCGGGGGAACGACGGCGATCAGGTAAGTAAATAGGACCGTTAGGACGGTTCAGGACCGTCACCGGTCGGCAATGGGAAAATGCCGATGACGGTCCTGAACCATCCTCGGTCCTTAAGGGGTTAAATGTTTTACTTTACAAGATATTCATTCATAGAGACTTTTACTTTGACCATAGTTACATAGCTGAAAAGAGACTTGCGTCCATCATGTTCAGCCTTCCTCACATATGTTGTTGCTGTTGATCCAAAAGAAGGCAAAAAAACCCAGTCTGAAGCGCTTCCAACTTTGCAACAAACTAGAAAAAAAATTTCTTCTTGACCCCCAAAATAGCAGTCAGATGTCTCCTTGGATCAAGCAGCTATTACCCCACTAATTAGAAATTATATCCCTGTATGTTATGTTTTTGTAAGTATTTATCCAATTGCAGTTTAAACATCTGTAGTGACTCTGACAAAACCACCTATTCAGGCAGAGAATTCCATATCCTTATTGCTCTTACTGTAAAAAAAAACCTTTTCTTTGCCTTAGCTGAAATCTCCTTTCTTCCCGCCTAAATGTGTGACCTCGTATCCTATGTATAGCCCTGTTTATGAATAGATTTCCAGATAAAGGTATGTACTAGCCCCGAATATATTTGTATAAGGTTATCATATCCCCTCTCAGGCGCTGTTTTTCCAAACTAAACAGATTTTTTTTTTTTTAACCTTTCTTCATAACTAAAATGCTCCATTCCGTTTATCAATTTTGTAGCTTGTCTCTGGACTTTTTCTAGTGCCATGATATCTTTCTTTGGAACAGGTGCCCAAAATTGCACAGCATATTCAAGGTGTGGTCTTACCAACGATTAATAGAGAGGCAAAATTATATTTTCATCTCAAATTTATGCTCCTATTTATACATGACAAAACCTTACTGGCCTTAGCAACTGCAGATTGACATTGCATATTGCTGCCTAATTTGCTGTCTATAACAATTCCCAAATCATTCTCGTGTGTGGTTATCCTAATTCACTACCATTTAGTGTGTAAGTTGCTTGTGCATTCTTAACCCCGAAGTGCATAACTTTGCATTTCTCTACGTTAAATTTCATCTGCCATTTTCGTGCCCAGTCCCCCAATCTATCCAAATCCCTCTGCAGCAAAGCAATATCCTTTATTTTTCATTTACATTTTCTCTGCACATTGCAATTTTCAGTGCAATCATTCCACTTTTTTTCACTGAGTTACAGTGGTCAGCATCTGATACTTGCTTTTTTCTTTATTTTCTTTTCATATTGTTTTATTTAGATCGTTTGTTTATTATAACTTGATACTTTTCCTATTTCTGAAGGATTTTTTCCTATTATAGATATAAATTTGATTCTCCATATTTGTGATCAAGGATTTTTTAATATTTATACAATTAAATTAAAAGTTATGTTTTATTAAGGTTACTCTCCATACATGAGGGCTTATCTCCTACATGGTCAGTTCTTGTGTTCTTTTTGTTAATACTGTACAAAACATACATATTTTGTTCAGCTACATCTTCTGAGTACAAGGATACAACCGATGCATGCCTTTGCTACTATCCTGTAAAGAGTCCCGACCATTTCAGTTTTTACAGTTAGAATTTTTGTAGTCTTATTTTGGGGTGCTATAGCAGTTTGACTATTAAAATTACCCCACATAGGCCCACCATTTGTAAAAATTGACATTCCAAGGTATCGCATATGGTGTATATTATGCCTTAGCATGTTATCAAGTTTTCAATATGTCAAAGTTTGTGATCATTTTTTTGTTTCACATTTTCTCAGCCATATTGAGTATAGAATGACACGAATTATATACCATTGCCATGATTTTGTGAAAATAAAGAGCTGAATTTATAACCTGTGCATTACAGGTTGTTGTTTTTTAATTAAAGATTTGTCTATGATGCATTTTGGGGCATTGTAGTAGCTCAGATAAGTTATTCCACAAATGCATACCATTTGCATGATTATATATTGTGAGCTTTATTGAGATTACATTTTTTAACCATTTTTTTAAAGTTTGTGGTATTTATTAAAAAATTTTAATTTTTACACATGCATTGCATTTTGTGTGCTTTTTTAAATCATTGTAATAAACTTGTAATAAAATTATCCTAACTTTACTCAACAACAATACCCATATGTATACCGTTGCAAAGTAACCTTAATCTTAATCCCAGCATAAAATCCTTAATCCTAAACCAAACCCCAAATCTCAAATGAATCCTTATTAGTGATGTCCCAAACTGTTCGCCGAACGGTTCGCGAACGGTTCGCCACGAACGGTTCGCCACGGACTCATCATTGAGTAAACTTTGACCCTGTACCTCACAGTCAGCAGACACATTCCAGCCAGTCAGCCGCAGACCTTCCCTCCCAGACCCTCCCACCTCCTGGACAGCATCCATTGTGAAGCTGCATTCTTAGTGAGCTGTCCAGGAGGTGGGAGGGTCTGGGAGGGAGGGTCTGCTGCTGATTGGCTGGAATGTGTCTGCTGACTGTGAGGTACAGGGTCAAAGTTTAATCAATGATGAGTCCGTGGCGAACCGTTCGTGGGACATCACTAATCCTTATATATATAACCCTAAATCTAATAACAAAACCTAACCTTAATCCCAACCAATCATTCTATGCTTCTCACAGTTTTAAAATTGATCCTAATCGTAATCCTTGTCCTCTAAATGGTGTTCGAAGGATTCCCTTGCTGATTTCATCAGAGGGATCCCCTTGCTGTCCTAATCCTAAACTAAAACCTAATCCCAATCCTAAAATTAATTCTTAATCCATTTTAAATATGAACCTAATAATAAACCAAATACTAAACCTAATATTTATTCTAAACCTATTCTTAATTCATAATCTTAATCCCTAATTTAATCCTAATCCAAAGGTTTCCTTCTTCTTATATCAGCACTTATATTAGCAAGGGAAATTGAAGCAGAGTGGTATGTCGTTGCCATCTACTGGCTATTTTCTGTATGACAGCTTTATATCTTTAAAGTTGAATATATTTTGTCCAATGCATTGCGACCAGTGCTGGGAAACTGACAGCCCAGCACTCATCAAAATGCCATTGTAGTAGGGAGGAAGAGCCACTCCACTACATTGCTGTCTTTGGAATTTTATATCCCTCTGAAAGAACTGCACGGTGATCTCAATCTTAGCTTTGCATGCAGCTCACCTGTCACTTTGGGGCCACTAAAAATGTCCCCAGCTGACAGAGAGGAGCCCCAGGTGTCTATTGATGCCTCGGTTTTCTGATGTGAGCATGAATATAACCCTGATCACACTGCATTGCTGTCTATGAGGATTTAAATTCCCATTGAAAGATCTGATTTCTGTTCTCACCACTAAAGAAATCAATAGACACCTGGGTTTCCTGATGTGAGCAGGGATGTAACCCTGCTCATACTGCATTGTAACAATCATAATATAATCCCCGTTTAAATCCCTGATTGTATCGCTCACTTTGAAACATAGAAACATAGAATGTGACGGCAGATAAGAACCATTCGGCCCATCTAGCTCTTAACCTCTACCACTTCAGCTGGAAGGCTATTCCAGGCATTCACTACCCTCTCAGTAAAATAATACTTTCTGGTATTATTTTTAAACCTTTGTCCCTCTAATTTAAGACTATGTCCTCTTGTTGTGGTAGTTTTTCTTCTTTTAAATATAGTCTCCTCCTTTACTGTGTTGATTGCCTTTATATATTTAAATGTTTCTATCATATCCCCGCTGTCTCGTCTTTCCTCCAAGCTATACATGTTAAGATCCTTTAACCTTTCCTGGTAAGTTTTATCCCGCAATCCATGAACCAGTTTAGTAGCCCTTCTCTGAACCCTCTCTAAGGCATCAATATCCTTCTGAAGATACGGTCTCCAGTACTGTGTACAATACTCCAAGTGAGGTCTCACCAGTGTTCTGTACAATGGCATGAGCACTTCCCTCTTTCTACTGCTAATACCTCTCCCTATACAACCAAGCATTCTGCTAGCATTTCCTGCTGCTCTATTACATTGTCTGCCTACCTTTAAGTCATCAGAAATAATCACCCCTAAATCCCTTTCCTCATATGTTGAGGTTAGGACTCTATCAAATATTCTGTACTTTGCCCTTGGGTTTTTACATCCAAGATGCATTATCTTGCACTTATCCACATTAAATGTCAGTTGCCACAATTCTGACCATTTTTCTAGTTTACCTAAATCATTTGCCATTTGGCTTATCCCTCCTGGAACATCAACCCTGTTACATATCTTAGTATCATCAGCAAAAAGACATACCTTACCATCAAGACCTTCTGCAATATCACTAATAAAAATATTAAAGAGAATGTGTCCAAGTACAGATCCCTGAGGTACCCCACTGGTGACAAGTCCAAGTTTCAAATATATTCCATTATCTACAACCCTCTGTTGCCTGTCACTCAGCCACTGCCTTACCCATTCAACAATATTGTAATCAAAACTTAAAGATTGCAGTTTATTGATAAGCCTTCTATGTGCAAAGTGTCTAAAGCCTTACTGAAATCTAGGTAAGCAATGTCTACTGCACCACCCTGATCTATAATTTTAGTTACCCAGTCAAAAAAATCAATAAGATTAGTTTGGCATGATCTCCCTGAAGTAAACCCATGTTGTCTCTGATCTTGAAATCCATGTGTTTTTAGATGTTCAGCAATCCTATCCTTTAACATGGTTTCCATCACTTTCCCCACTACTGAAGTAAGGCTTACTGGCCTATAGTTGCCCGACTCCTCCCTATTACCTTTCTTGTAAATGGGCACAACATTCGCTAACTTCCAATCTTCTGGGACTACTCCTGTTAACAATGATTGGTTAAATAAATCTGTTAATGGTTTTGCTAGTACACCACTAAGCTCTTTTAATAGCTTTGGGTGTATTCCATCAGGTCCCATTGACTTATTTGTCTTTTGACAGTTGAAATAGAACCTCTTCCTCTGTAAACTGACGTGTAATTAATGACTCATTTATCATTTTTCTTAACTGAGGTCCCTTTCCTTCATTTTCATCTGTAAGTACAGAACAAAAATATTAATTGAGGCAGTCAGCTAGACCTTTATCCTCTTCTACATACCTTCCTTCTTTTGTTTTTAATCTAACTAATCCTTGTTTTACTTTTATTTTCTCATTTATGTATCTAAAAAATGTTTTATCCCCCTTTTTTACTGACTGTGCTATTTTCTATTCTGTGTGTGATTTGGAAGCTCTTATAACTTGCTTAGCCTCTTTCTGCCTAATCTTATAGATCATTTTGTCTTTCTCACTCTGGGTTTTTTTTATAATTCCTAAATGCTAACTTTTTGTTTTTAACTATTTTGGCCACATCTGTGGAGTACCGCAGTGGTTTCTTGATTTTTTTGCTTTTACTGACAAGCCTAATGCAATTTTCTGTTGCCTTCAATAGTGCAACTTTTAAATAATCTCATTTCTCTTGGACTCCATTTAAATTGCTCCAGTCTGATAACAACTCCTCTACCCATATTCTAATTTTAGAAAAGTCTGTTTTTCTAAAGTCTAAAACTTTTGTTTTTGTATGGTGTGACTCAGTCACTGTTCTTATATTAAACAACACTGACTGATGATCATTGGATCCTAAACTTTGACCTACAGTAATGTCTGATACCAAATCTCCATTTACAGTAAATCTAGTATGGCCTCTTTACGAGTTGGCTCCTCAACAACTTGTTTTAGAGACAATTCCAGTAGGGAGTTTAGAATATGTGTGCTCCTGGCACAAGTAGCTAATTTTGTTTTCCAATTTACATCAGGAAGATTAAAGTCACCCATGATGATAACTTCCCCCTTCATTGTCATTTTAGCTATTTCCTCAACTAGTAGATTATCTAACTCTTCAATTTGTCCTGGAGGCCTATAAATCACACCTACACGAGTTACTGTGTGATTACCAAATTCTAACATAACCCAAACGGACTCTGTTTGCCTCAGTAACTTTTATTAGGCTAGATTTTATGCTATCCTTCACATACAAGACCACCCCCCCCTCTTTCTTGCCTTCCCTATCTTTCCTATATAAAGAGTACCCTGGTATTGCTATGTCCCAGTCATTTTTCTCATTACACCATGTCTGAGTAACAGCGACTAAATCTACACTATCAGTTGCCATTATTGCCACAAGTTCATGGATCTTATTCCCTAAACTACGAGCATTTGTAGATATGACTCTAAGCTTATAATTTTTTAACACACTTGCTACAGGCACCTTCTGTCCTTGTTTTGGAGGACAATTGGATTGATGTTTTATCACCCTTCTGCCCCTCCCCTCCTAGTTTAAATACATCCTAGCAAAACCTCTGAACTGCTCACTGAGAACATTTGTTCCTTTTTGAGAGAGATGCAAACCATCTTTTTTGTACAGCTTATCTCCATTCCAAACAGAGCTACCATGAGAAATAAAGCCAAATCCTTGCTCCCGACACCATTCACCAAGCCACAAATTAAAGTCCCTAATACGCATCCGCCTGTCGTTCTGAGTGTTGTGCACAGGCAGAACTCCAGAGAATGACAGTGTGGAAGCAACCTGCCGTATATCATTGGCAAAAACACTAAAAACTTCCTTAACCTCTGAAACCTCATTGCAAGCCAAGTCATTTGTCCCTAGATGGACAAGTACATCCAATTCCCCTTCCTGCTTTGCTTGCTTAACAATATTACAGATACGTCTCCTGTCTCTGTGAGCAGTAGCTCCGGGAAGACACCTCACAAGACCACCATTGTCCATCTCCACACCTCTTATAATAGAATCCCCCAACAACAACTGCTTTCTATTAGGCCTCACCATAGTCTCCAAGCCGGTCTCCATAACACCACTAGCCTCAGTGAATCTCTCCACAACACCACTAGCCTCAGTGCATCTCTCCACAACACCACTAGCCTCAGTGCCTCTCTCCACAACACCACTAGCCTCAGTGCCTCTCTCCACAACACCATTACACTCTGAAAGTGCAGAAAATGAATTATGAAGAGCAACAGACTGTGCAAAATGCCTTTCATCCACAACTCTAAGTCTACCAGATCCTACAATAATCCATCTGCCATTCCTAGTATGTCTCTGCGGCAGTGGCTTTGCAGCAGTTCCAGTTTGAGTTTGTTCACCAGATAATTTACAAATCTCAGACTTCAAAAATACGATCTCCTGCCGCAAGATAGAGAACTGTCTACAGATTAGACAACATCTGCAAACAGAAATTAAAACTAATTCTAGCCCCAACTGATGGAGGGGACCCCAGGTATCAAAAGTTGCTTGGTACCAGCAAGGATTAAACCCTTGCTAATATATTACTGCTTGACAGTCTAAGCCGTCAGTGAGCATTAAAGGTCTGCACTGCATGATGGCACAAATCATCCCAATTAGTGCAAATCAAAGAAGACCAGAGCAGTAGCGGAGGATAGATCACATGTGGGTATTACATGAAGAGTAACACCTACAAAACTCTGAAGATGAGGGTGCTGGAGCAAAGTGAAGTAAGTATATCTCAATATTTTACATTGAATGTATCATGTATCTCTGTGCTATATGATTTATTTAATGTATATGGAGGCAATTAAGGTAAGTGGATTTTTATTTAATTTGTGTTTGTCTGAAAAGATACACATAACCTATAAAAAAATAGACTTAATAAAGTATAGATTTTCAAAATGTTTTATTTAAGTGCATCTGTTATATTTCATCTATACATTTAGGTAAAATAATTGCTAATGAGCATATAGAATGAATTAAAAAAAAAATCAAAATTAAATAAATGTTATTTCTTGTTCATCTGCCTATCAATTGACAGCATCCATGGCTATACCAATGGTATTGTCTATGTGATAAAAAGTCATTATCAGGTGAAGATTAATAGAGTCCACCATACAGACAGTTCTTCAGCTATCCTACAAAGCTTTGCCTAGTGTCACATGTCACTCCATTCACATGCCAATGAGCTGTTAAAGAAACCAACTTGTTGATGTAGTTGGCAAAGAATGCCCTGCTTTGGCATCCACCAGAATGTGCCAGAATTTAATAGAGCACCAATAACATTTTCAAGCATTATCCGAACCTTTACAAACAGAAACAAATGTGATTGTGTCTGGCTTAGATATCTCTACTTTTAAAACAATGCTCTTAAAACTAGTTGAGTTGAGTTGTTAAATTGCATAAGATCTGTTTACATTCTATTTATTCTGGATTGTCAAAAATCTCCAGGCTGAGACAATCATGAGTTCTTATGTTGGGTCAGATAGCATCTTCAAAAAAAAAAAAAAACCCAGAAAACAAAATGTTTCCTAGGTCACTCAAGTCATTGTTCCTTTAAGCCATCTATGAATGCTAATTACTACCATCATGTTGCTATTTACATAAACAATAGGACATTGCAGATCATTCAACGATTTCTCTGAATAAACGTTACAGCTTGTTATTAAAATACATAGTTACTTGGGTATTTAGACCCCACACTGAGAATAACATAAACGTAAATAAACATTTAATACTTGGCACATTCTATTGATTCTATTTCATTTTAAAGTAAAACTATAGTGTCAGGAATACACACATGTTTAGCTTTCTGGCCCCTCTCACTTTAAACGTACCTTTTCAACCACACAGTGCTGGTTCCGCCGCTGCTGGTCCCGCCACTGTGGCTGAGATCATCAATCTTGATGATCTTAGTCAATCAATGCGTCTCTATGGGGAACGTTCAGTGTCACGCTGGAAACCAGTACTGCACACTGTGCAGCACTGGACTTGGAAGCAGCTCTAGTAGCTGTCTGAGTGACTGCCACTAGAGGTGTTACTATGCAGCAATGTAAACACTGGCTTTTCTTTGAAAATGCAGTGTTTAAATTGAAAAGCCTGCAGGGAGAGGCAATAGACACCAGAACCACTACATAAAGCTGAAGTGGTTCTGATGACTATAATATACTTCAGGCTTCAAAGCAAATTTTCACTTGACTTGCTGTTGCTGTTTAGTTTTCATTTTGAGAGTTTATGGGACTTAAGGGATAAGGCTACATTTTGCTGACATTGCCCTTTGGTACTTTTCATTACAGTGTCAAGTGGCCTTGGCTAGTAATACAGTAATTTCTAGTAATTACCTGACTAGTAACACAGAGCGTCTCTGCACAGAAAAAAAAGAAACATGGTAAGTGGTGATATAATCCAAATACAATGCATTTTTGTGATGCCTTTTATTTAGTTTATTGGCATGTCCTGGGTCACTCACATTACAGCATAAATA